CAGTAAACTTGTGCTGCAGTATTTTACAATGTACTTACATTAAAAGGGACACCATCTGGGTATCTGGATTGTAGTTCTGATGGAAAATAGCCATCCATGATATCCTGCATGCATTGCTGTGGAAACAAGTGAAGAAAAAACCTTTATTCAGCTTCACCATGACCATGACCATGTAACTGCATTGAATACCACAATACAGTCAAGATTTTTCCTCATATTAATTTAAAAGATGTTTTTCCATTTACTTTTCCCTTTATTACTTAGCAATAAATTTGTTCCCACCATCACAGACATCAGGAACAACAGCAGGAACAATTAAAGCAAATACATTTTGAAATATTTCTAGTAAGGAAATAACTGTAAAACTCTACTTATAATATAAGCTACATGTACCCTAGTTGTAAGCCCTCACGACTATAGGCCCACCTCGGGAATCTTGTGCTTATTTCATTGACACACACTAAAGATTAACTGGGAAGATAATGGAAATATTAATTACTTAAAGTTTGCTTTTCGTCCTAGTCTCTTTTTCCTTTCGATTATAACCCCCCCCCCTCCCCCTCCCCCTCATAAATAGACCCTCCCAGTTTCTAAACCCATCAAAAGTCCCTGGCTTACGAATGAGTATAATAAACCCAGGGCTTATGTATAACCATAAGTAGTATAGGTAATAGGGGTAATAGGACTACATACTGTCCAATTTGGAAATAAATGGATGAAAAAAATTCAGAGGGCTGACAAAATTGGAAGAGGCCGATAGGTTGAGTCTAATTTGGCAGTCAGAGAAATTTTTTGAATTCAATTATTTCCAAATTGGACAGACATGTAGTCCTATTGCAGATTAATCATATCATCCCAAACTATACTAGACTGATTCCATAAGTCATAGTTTTCCCTCGAAAGAATGCGAATAGAAACGATCCAAATTAATCTTTATTTTGGACAGGAAAGAGAATTTGAAAATGATACAATAGTTGCTTATATGGGATTATAGAGTGATAATACAATTATATGCTATATACTTTACCTGTGTTGTTGGATCACTATATGGTCGGAACGGGCCAGCAAACATGATGATCCCATTTGACATTAGAGTCAATGGAATGGAGTCTGGGACCTTTCATAGAGAAAGTTGTGAGTCAGTATTGGATGTTCAAAACATCAGTCAACTATAACACTTCTTACTAGTACTGTACAGTATGTTATCATATTGTGAATCAATGTGAATCATCGTTGTCATCATCATCATCAGCAGCAGCAGCAGCATCATGGTCATTATCATCATTGAGCAATCAACTGCATTATCATAATTTATCATACGATATTCACGATTAGCATCATCATCATCATCATCATCATGGTCATCATCATCATCACCATCATCATGGTCATCACCATCACCATAATGCATCATCATTTATCATCATCATCATCATTATACTGGTTATTATACTGGTAGTCATCAGCAACATCACCTGATCCCCATCAAATGAAAAAAAGTTGTAATTACATTTTCATGTCTGCCTCACCTTAAGTCTGGCACCATCCTTAGTTTTGGACACAACTGCACACCCCTCCCCTGACAGGATGTTCAGTTCTTTGATGTTTTGAATCAACAGATCAAAGTCCATCTGGAACTTTTCCCTTGGTACTGAAGCACCTAAAAGTACAGTAGATTATTGTCCTTAATAATTTTAATTTATAAATAATTTACATTTTGATTATGATGAAATAAAGAAAGTTGATGAAAAAAAAAATAATAATAATAATAATAATAATAATAATAATAATTGTCCTTAATTTAAGAATTATAGACTGAATGCAATATGA